ATTGGATTGGTTTGACGATCCTACCGGGAATAGGTATGTAAAATGTCCAGAGTCCTTGATAAATTGGATTGGTTTGACGATCCTACCTGGAATAGATATGTAAAATGTCCATATATGCTTACCTGTTGTTTTGAATCATATTTATGATTCAACAGGAACCATTCCTGTTATTCTTGTTGTTCACTGAGATAGCAGTATGTCCTGAGGAGTAAAATTTATGTGTCAGACATGACCTTTGTCTTTTCTGCTTAGAAGTATATGTCTATAGTATGATTTACAAGACTCCTAAAGACTCCTTTATTTTCTTTCTTATGTGATAAGTACACATTAAGAATACACTCATTCTAGGAAAGAGGGGAAATTCTATGCTCATATGATTCTGAAAATAATAAGATTCATCTACAACTCTATGGAAATCAAGTATATGAAATATGACAGATCCTCTGGTATGTTTATGAGTATAATATCTGTAGTTCAAGATTCTAAAGAAAGGTATGAACTTCTTTTTTTTCCCCAAAAATTAGTCCAGGCTTAGACAAAACTGAATGCTAAATTATGAACAAATAACTATGCATGTGAATTAATTAATGATCCCTAGATCTCTGAGGTTTGTGACAATTACTCCCTTGGTGTATCATGATATAGATATGGCTTAAAAAACAAAATATACAGTATTTGATGGTTTTATTTTATAATGAGTTCTCTTGAAGGAAATGTTCTAAAATTAGATTCTTATAAGATATGAGCCCTGTAACTCTTGATGTGATCCAATTCAGACTACTTGGATGACTGCTCTGTGTGTGTGTCACCTTTATTCTTAATGAAGGATCAGGTAATTAACGATTGTGTTTCCACGAGTCTCCAAAGAATTTCACTCCTGTGTTCTGTGAGAGTCTGAAATCCATAATTAGAGTTTAACTCCCTGATTTAAACAGAAGTTGCAACTGGTCACCTACGTGTCTGATCTATCTTCTTTTATTTCTTTTTATCGGGTTTTGTTTTGTTTTTTGGCCTACACAAAATGGATATGTATGTGCTTTAAAAATTACCAAACCAAAAAACCAGGAGAGTTCACATAAAAATCTGGGTTCCCAGTCTTCTCTTTCTCTGTCGGTGGCTCTACCAGTAAACCAGTTACTCATTTAAGAAATCTAGTTGCCATACGAGAGAATATTCCCTCTACTTACCCTCTCCGCAACTATCCCATCAAGTTCTTCAGGTTTAGCCCAGACTTGGTGGTTCTCAGCCCTCAGGATGAGAAGGTGCTTGTGCCCAGGTTCTGCCCAGAAAATTAAGTCCAAACCTCAGAGGGTGGAGCTGGGGCTTCAGAATTTTTAAAAAGTTCTTCAAATGATTTATAGGTGCAGTTGGAGTTTAGAACTATTGGTCCGAAATCTTCCTTTGTCTCTATGTCAATTATCACCCCACAGTGCAAGTGACATCCATCACTTCCTTGTCTCACCAGTGTTCAGCAATAGTCCCCAAATCACCTTCTCTCTTCTGTTCTGGCCCCCATTCAATCCATTCTCCACCCAACAGCCAGAGAGATTGTTTATAAATAGAAAATGTCTGGTCAATTCCTGCTTACACCTCTATCAGTAACAAAGATAACTGATAATGATCATTTATGCTTTGGTGGGATGAAGACTGAGTTCAGGCTTTGTTAAAAGACTGAGTCACCGAGGCAGTGAATTTCAGGAGCAAATTGGACAAAGGGCACAGAAGGTGTAGCTGAAGATACCAAGACAGCTGTATTCCCTCCGCACATCAGGCCTCGGGCCTAATCTTCTGCTTGCCTGTCCCTCTAGGCAGTGACTCAGAGGCCGGAAGAGCTATTGACATCTCCTGCAAATTGCCACCCAGTCCATTCCTGGTCTCACATTACCATCAGGAGCAAAGACATTTTGTAATTTGTCAGTGACACTATTATAAGATTAATTTTATGGCACAGTCACCAAAGTTTATTAAATGTCACTCCTTCATAGGTGCATAATTCACCCAGCAAAATACGATGATACTGGCAAATTTTTAGGCAGAATAACAGAATTGGGACAAATAACAATTTGTTGGGTGGGGAGGTGATGGTTATAGCTAGGATCATTTCATCTGCAGCTCAGATATATAGGCCTTTCTTTTCACCAATAATAATGTAAATTAAGTATTTATCTGAGCTGCAGTGGAGACTTTTTTTTCTCATAGTGACTGTCTAGTGACTTTATAGACCACTGTTTCAGCCACTGAAAACTGTGCTTTAGACTCTAACCACCCATAACTGTAGATGTTGCACTTCCCATTGGAAGGGAAGAAGATAAGGTGTCATCAAAATGTTTTCGTCAAAAAAGACACCCTTTGCAGGATAGTGATGCTATTTTAATCAGAATTTTAAATGAAATCAATAAGTGTAAGCTGCTTTGCTGCTGAGTGGAAACTTGGATCTGTGTCAACACCCCTTGTACACGGCGTAATCAACTTGTATTTCATGCTGTCTTCCACATAGAACCTTGAGCATTTCACCATTTATGTTATTAAAAAGTTCAAGGAGCTGCATGCGTTAAAAACAGAAAAATGTGCAGTTGACACTCAGGTAATGGAGACCCGTGGCGAGGTATTCAATGCAGTTTACCTAGGTGTTGAATTAATGCCTGTAACACAGCTACCTTCTCTATCCTAAATTATTTCCATCAATGAAGCTAAAGTGTGTTTGGGGACCTAATTTACCCAAATACTATGCCTGCGCAACACTATCTTTCATTTAAGAAAACAGTTGATATTTTAAGCTTTCTCCTAAGGGTTTATTTGGCGTGGGGGAAGGAAAACAAAATACACAGAGAGAGACACAAACACAGAGACACTGAGTATCCTTAGAGACCCGGGACGGGACAGTGCTTAGTAGTGAGATGCCCGTGCGTTTCCTTTGGGGTTCAAGGTGGATTGGTCTTGTGTAAAATTCTCTGTGGTGAATAGGCTTTAATAAGGCCACAGATTCTTTTCACGCTATTTTAGGAATTTCTTTGAAAGGATTCAGACAGCGATGCCCCTTATGTTTTAGAGTTTTACATTAGTACAGGCAAAGCTTTTCAAATAATATAAAGCCATTTTTTTCTGAATTCCTTATATCTCCGAGTCTCTGGGTTCTGGACAGAGGAAGATTAAAATCTCTATAAAATCCACCATCATGCCACCACATGAAACAGCTATTGAGAGAGAAATTAATAGTGTCTGAAATGAACCTTGGGTTAAGCGTTCTTCACTTTGCATTTTCTACAACTTTTTTCATTTGCCATGATACCTCTTTAATCAGAGAGCTTCCCTAAAACTGACATAGAGCTGGTCCAGATTAACTTTAAAAATTGAATATAAAAGTTATATAAATATATCCTATGTTTGTTATAGGTCAGACACACTATGGATGCTTGATAATACTGAGTTCATTGTGAATACTTGTCTTATTTTATATTAATGCATCAAATGGCTCCAAAAATACACGTTTGTCATAAATATTTACTAATGCATCAGACTTTTTCTTATTCCTGTCATTCCCCTAGCACCTCGTGCTGACTCTTGAGAGTGAATATTTTGGAACAAAACATATAGTATTTCAGTATCCTCCATGTTAGGACTCCACATTAGACATTAGTAAATATTTCTGGAATTTGTGGAATGAATAATTCCAGTGCATTTTACTTTTAGACACAAGCAGATGAGATACCCAAGCTAGGAAGTGACTTGGCCAATGAACTACACACATGAAATAACGAGCAATGAAAATGGTAATTCATCGGATCAGAGACTGTATCAGATGTGTTCTGCCTGCCAAAGCAGAGAGATGGGCATCATTTTTAAAGGATTTGGACAAAGTCAAAGGGCCAAGAAACCTCATAATTTGGTTGGCAGCTCATTCTGATGTTAATAAGGCCATGGCTGGTTGCTTCCTTCTTCTCCACCAATATTTTCATCTTTAATTTTTTTCCCTGCCATGTTGAGATGTTCTAGTCTAAAAGTTCCTAATGGAGGTGCCTTATCTTTCAAAACTTTCCTAGAGTCATGTGGACAAACATGAAAAGGTGAAATACTACAGAAATGCTATAAGTATTAGTGCGGTATAGAAAGATCTGCACTAGTGAACATTTGAATAGCTTCTGCTGCATCCAAGTAGATGGTCCAAATGGATATGATGTCTTCACAATACTAGAAGCCCTTGATGCATGAAGTTCGTTTTCTCAGTAGTTGTGAAACTTCACTTTGAAACTAGATTGCATTCATTGTATAACAACACACAGTGCCTGGGAAATAAATAATTTCATATATTTAGAGTTCCTAAATCACATTCCCATATCAGGGAGAT